AATTTATTTTATTATTTTTTCTGATTTTAAATTATAAAGACTGAAAAAGTGCATCTTTTTTCCTTCAACGTTACACAATTAAGCTGAAACCCCAGCAAAGCAGCGAATAGGGGCACGTCGGCAGTGAACGAAACGAACAGTCCTTTATATGAAATGAAGCAGAAAGAAACTTCTCGCTAAATATTTCATTATTTTGACGATCATATGGATTTAAAATTAAAATTACACTCTAGAAAAAGCTGTATCCTCGTGAAATATACCCAGGATGACCAGCACATTTCAGGTTGACCAGCAGCTTTCTCTGCACGCAACTAAACAAGCTGAACACGAATACATCCCCAGCCTTTGTAAAAATACAAATTCTTGTTAGTGCATGCAGAAGTATGGTATTATATTTCATGTTTGAAACTTCTGAAAAAATTCTGAAACACGGCGAGTTGCTGGCTGGCCTGCAGTATACCATGTGTACCGAGGTAACCAAGGACCTCCANTTCTGAAACACGGCGAGTTGCTGGCTGGCCTGCAGTATACCATGTGTACCGAGGTAACCAAGGACCTCCATGGTGAGCCGCAGTATCATCAGAATACTCTACATTAGAATATATTACCAAAAGAAACTGTTTTTTTCATGGTCTGTATGTTCTCAGCACGTGTCTGTCTACACTCTTTCAGTCTGGTTACTGGGGGTATAGCGACAATCATCGATAGTGGGAGAGGACCCTTTTGCGGTGTAGTACTGTTGAAATAGTTATAATACGAGTTCCCCCCAGCCAGCTGATATTCATTTCAGTTTGTTTTAGTCGTGGCGGCTTATGGGCCTGGGCTGGTGCAGGAAGGAGCTGACCTGTTCTGCGTAGCAGCGCTATTCGCTTCAACTGCTGCTGCATCGCAACTCTGAATGCAAGCTTACCCAGTAACGCATACACTGACACCGTAGGCAAGTGTTTAGAGTTTACTTGTTCCTTAGTACCCAACGTGCACGTAAGTATAAACACAGGTAACAAATTCGCACAGACGAACGGGCCGTATCTGCCTTCAACCAGCACTCAATACACCACAAGGTAGATATGAACAGAGAGAGAATGCCGCGAGAGGGGCCAGAGAGCCCCCCAACGTAAGGTAAGAGAAGAACATTAGAGGGGTTTATAGATATCAGCCCCTGCTACACCACTTTGTTCCTGCTTCTAGGTGTGCTTCTACTCTCTAGGTAGTTANTCCCCGCTACATTATCTCTGCGTTAAGAGCCGCGTTCTGCTGGGGGCATCGACACTCAATAGGCTTATACATATACCCCTGCTCGCAATATCTCTATACGCGTGAGCGAGGTGCCTGTAAGCCCCCAACTGCGGGGCACCAACTATACAGTGTGAAATAATAAAAGGGTTATTTGTTGTGTCAAGCTAGCCATAGGTAGATATTTCTATAGATAATATGGAGAGAATAGTTCACGTTGCTGAGACAGAAAGAAGCGCCGCCATCTACACACTTAAGCAAGCAGTAGTTCTGAATAAGATGCTGTAAGCAGCCCCGTGCGCTGTGTATGCCTACGCCTCCCCCTCAAAGGGTCAAGGGTGCAGCATGTATGCTGTTAAGGAATTGTTTCGCTCAATGGGTCCTCAGGAATCCACCCCAGCTTTCGATATACTGGCATCTCGGCGTAATATTTTCATATTTCGTTACCTTTTCTGCAGATCATTACACTTTGTTTAGGTTTTTCTTCAGTTGCTTCTTTCCTTAATGATGTTGTTCCTGCTTTGTGATTCCCAGTAAAGAAACAGAAAAAAAAGAAAAAAAAACAGAAAAAACAGAAAAAGAAAAGAAAAAAGAAAGGTCGGGGGGAAATTTGGGGTTATGTTCATAAACAAAAAAAAAGAACTGCCGCTGTACCCCTATACCACTAAGCTAGCTCTGCAGGGCGTAGGTCCCTCTAGACTGAGCACGTAGGACTAAGCATCAGTATAAATTCAATTCAAGTATTATATCACATTATATCACCTATATTTATTGCATTTATAGTTGAAACACCTTTTGGTTGCTTCGTTGTGCTGCTCGAGGCAGCTCACTAGCAAGGCAGCAACTCTTGGTGGAACGCAACTACACATACGAGGGTGCATAATCCCCTCTTTCTATGCTTGCACAAACACAGTAGAGAATTGTTATACTATTACGTGGCTCTCGCTGACTACAAATACAGGCACAACCTTCACGCAGACAATGCAACACTCCAGCATATGTTTCAGCTAATCCTTGATGCTAATACCCTTCTAGTGCATGTAAAAAAATATCGCATACAATTGTTAAACTCATCCATGGCCATAGCTGGCCGACGCAGAAGCTACGAGAAATGCAAGTACCACCTTGAGACATACAGACCATGATACCGTCCTGTGCAAGTTCCAGCGAAAGCGTGAAACAAATACACATTTGGCATTTGATATTTATTAAAGTAAAAGTAAACATTATAAATACACACTCAATGCTNAACAAATACACATTTGGCATTTGATATTTATTAAAGTAAAAGTAAACATTATAAATACACACTCAATGCTGATAAATAACAATCGGAAACCCATATACCGAGCAGAGGATGCTCTCTTGGGGCCCCCCCTTGGGGCCCCCCGAGGCCGTGTTCTCTGCTCTGGTCTTGCGGATGGGTGGGCAACATTCTACAGAAGTATTTATAATTTATTGCCTTTTATTTTTTTTGAATTGATTACAACTAAAAATTATATAAATCTGGATTCATTTACTGATTACTCCACTATAACTCTGCACGGTTGCGCGTTTCCGCCTCAATACGTCAAGCCATCCTCTGTTGTATGCAGTTCGGTGGCGCTGCAATTTCTCTGCTAAAAATTTCAACAGCAAACTGAAGCGGATACGAGCAGCAGCTTTGTCGTGCTCTCAGCCTCTGCTGCTGCTGTGTTGCAGCAGCAGCATATTCTCCCTTTCTATGGATTTGTTCGTTTACACATCTGCATAGGTGGCATCGTTGAGTGTGGCGTCTCAGCGAAGCTGACAGTTGCTGTTGCTGCTCATCATTCTCTCCGTTTTGTATTTCAACAACAGAAACCCAAAGTCTAGGCAATTGTATTCCTTTAGGTGGTTTCAATCGGCTTCTAGCGGCCTCTGAATGAAGGCGTTTGTCGTTTTGCATTGACAGCAAAAGAAACAAAAGCGAGAAAACGGAGAGAATGGGGATGATGTGGTCTGAAGAAAGGAAAGAAACGGGCTGCTGTCTGTCCTCTTCTTCACTCCCAGCCCCTTGATTTCCTCTTTATAATCAGAAAGCGAATCACTGCTGAAGATGCAGTGCAAACGAACGCTTCTGCTTACATTTTTTCTCCTCTGGCTGCAACAAACANATCACTGCTGAAGATGCAGTGCAAACGAACGCTTCTGCTTACATTTTTTCTCCTCTGGCTGCAACAAACAACAGAAGCCGCACAGTTCGCCTTTGCATTGAGAGAAAGCAACGCGTGCGGCTTTCTTCTGCCGAGTGATCCGTCTTTGCTTGCAGTCAGAGCAGCAACAAGTAAAGAAGGGGCCCCGATCCTTGGGTTTGCAGCTGCACCTCATCGCTACACCGCCTCCCCCTTTACCCTGAAGGGGGTGACCCGTGTTGAAACAAGTACTAGAGCAGCAAAAGCAGCAGCTACTGCAGCAACGCCAGCAGCAACGCGAGACCCTAACAGAGCCAAATCCATAGCAACAAAAGGAAGACGGAAATCAAATACGCCTCAGACAGAAAAAAATACAAAAAAGAGTTCAGGAGAAAATGCAATAAACATCACAGATGACATTTCGTTGACCTCAGCAGCTCATGCTGCGCGGACTGCAGCACCTGCTGCTGCTCCTGCTGCTGCAGCTGCTGCAGATGCTGCTACAGACCCCGCTGCTGNCGGACTGCAGCACCTGCTGCTGCTCCTGCTGCTGCAGCTGCTGCAGATGCTGCTACAGACCCCGCTGCTGTTGCTGCAGCTCCAGACCTTGCTGCTGACTCTGCATCAGCTGCTGCTTCTGCCAGTGAAGAGAAGTTATCTGGTCTCCCAATTACGAGTCTTCGCACAGCGTGCCGAAAGCTGCAACTGTCTAGCAAGGGAAAGCGCGAGGAGTTGATGCAGCGGCTGCACGCAGCGGCTTCATCAGAAAGAATTTTGGCGCTTGCTGAGGAGCCAGGGGCCCCCCTACAACTGCAGCAAACTCAAGAAGCATCGACAGCAGGGGCCCCTGATACGCCTTCTGATACAAATGCACGAGCCGCACCAACACGGTGCCCTAAGTGCAATCGTCGACTGTCTGCCAGTAAGAAAGAGGCCCTGAAAGCAGCGAAGCGGCTACACAAACACATCAGTCTCGCAGCTCCCGCTGCAGCAGCTGCTGCTGTCATTAGCAGCAGCTACAGCGGCAGCAGCCGCCGTTGCTGCTCTCTTTCTACATATGAATAGCAGCTACAGCTACCTGTATGATACTGCCAGATACTGAATTCTCTGCTGCTTTCAGTTTATAATGTAGTATACATTGTGAAGGGTGAAGTGAACTGGCCACAAACAATTCTTTCTCCCTATCATACATTTTTTTTCTGCAAATTGTTTTCTTGTTGAACTCAGAAGCGCGTTTCTGCTCCGACTGTGGAGCTACGATCAGCACTGTTGGCCAGGAGACGCTGAGGGAGTTTGTTGAGCGGGCTTTCTGGCCCGTCAGGTAATAATAATAATAAAAAAAAATAATAATAATAACAATAAAAATAATAAAATTATTATTATACGGCGTGTGTTTTAGAGTTGATGTTTTGGTGTTAGTGTTGGTTTGTTCGTTAGTTGATCAATGCACAAACAACACATGAAAACGAGAAATGCAGCAGAAGAACGCGTTCTCGCAGATACACATCTTTAACAGTCATTTGCATAGATGCAGAGTGAAAGCTTCTGTTTGTTGCCTTCTCGGTGGTTTGGTGTTATCCTTGTATATTCTGTACTTTTTGTGTAGTTGGGGTTCGTGTTGAGAGGNCTTCTCGGTGGTTTGGTGTTATCCTTGTATATTCTGTACTTTTTGTGTAGTTGGGGTTCGTGTTGAGAGGAACATGAGAAGGGTTTTCTTTTGCTGCGCTTTGCAGAGAACAAGAAGTAGGGAGCAACACAATGAGAGTTGAACGCGGATTCTGGCAGTCTATTCTGCAGGTTTGTTCCTGTTGTTGTTGAGTTTCTTGCTATTTATTCTGTTTCTTGCTGTTACTGCAATTTGCTGTTTTGTTGTTGGGTTTGTTGCTGCTGTAGCTGCTGCTGTTGGGGGCATAACATGTGCCGTGTCCTGTGCTCGACTTGCTGCGATTAGCTTCTGCGCTTTTGACGTGCTGTTCACTGCTGCTGCTGCTGCTGCTGCTGCTGCTGCTGCTGTTTTTACTTCTAGTCTTGCTGGTGTTTCATGATGGGAATATTCGCGCTATATTCTCACCCAGGCTCATTTTTTATTTTTTCAGGTCATCGGAGATGTCCCCGTTGCAAATCTTTCTTCTGCTATTTGGGAGAAGTATTTGGGGTATGTTCTATTGCAGCGCACTTCACACCTTAACTCACGCTGCTTACATAGCATAGTATGGCATTTCGCACGTCATGCTTCGTGTTCGTATGCTGCTCTTCAAGCAGAGCGTAGGCTTTAGTATGTTTTCTTCCTGTTCGCATGGTAAAGGGCATACAGAGCCCTGTGTTAGTTTTCGTCAGGTGTTTCTCTTTGGCTCTGGCAGCACTTTCTACATTACTGCTTTCAATAACAACTATAGAGTTGCTCTGCTTAGTACAATTGAGTTCAACGGAGTCGGCGGTTACTAGCACTCAGCAGTGGACTTACTTTCATCTTGAATTTGGGAGTATGTTGTGCGGTAGACAACTGAATTCCTTCATTCTGTTATTTTTTGATTCTTTTGTGCATGTTCTAGGGTTCTCAAGCGACGCAACTGCTCTCCGCGGACACAGGTGTTGCACCAGGTTGCTTATTTGGCTGCCTTGAAGTATGCAGTGCACACGAGGCGGCTTGACGGGATTCACCCCTTCCGCAAGATAAGAGGATGCACAAAACGAACGCTTGTGTCGGTGCCTTTGACTGCTGAAGAGGTACATGCAAACATCATATTTGTTACTGTCTGAATTGGCCAGTTGATGTATGCTTACAGAACACTGGGGTCCTCTATAGGACATTGGCTGTTCTCTATAGGCGAGGCTCGTGAACTGCTGCCAGTTGCTGTTTAGTGTGTTGCGGGCTCAACTGAGCAGGTCTATTTGCTCCTTGCCGCTACTCCCAACACTATGCACTGCGCCTTGTTTGCTGTTGGGATTGGTGCGGGTCTCCGGCCTTCTGAGATTTTGTCGATGAGGTGGGAAGACGTTAACATGGAGGAAATGACGGCAACGATTCGTGGCTCAAAGACAGCAGCATCAGCGGCCGTTATTCCTCTAACGAATCTCGCNAAATGACGGCAACGATTCGTGGCTCAAAGACAGCAGCATCAGCGGCCGTTATTCCTCTAACGAATCTCGCCGGGAGAGAGCTGATGCGCTGGTAAAGTATTCACGGCAACTATGGCATTTCCCTCAACTCTCTGCACATCCATTCATCCACGTGCTCAGTAGTGATGACGGTGACAAGTGGAATGTAGCGGACAGGGTTGTTCACCCATTCAAAAGTGCAGCACAGAGACAGCTTGCCTTTACAAGAGGCATCCGTGCAATATGAGTTGATATCGTTGGCTTGGAGGATGTCTTAATGCGGATGTTGCGCAGCACACTAAGAACACGTGCAGCAGTCTACAGCGTGAGCCGCGCCCTACGCGGTAACTTTTCAAAACATGGAGTACTTTGTCTCCTTGAGTCGTTTTGCAGGTGGGAAGAAGAAGGCAAACCAACGAGCGGGTTGTGCTTCTATGCGGAGGGAATACGCACGGCTAGCAACAGAGCGAAGCTGGAAAAGAAGACGCCAATCCGTAAGAGCAGCAGATTGGTGTTAATGTTTAAGCCTTGATGAATTGCCACACACAGTGCACGTGCTGCCGCAGCTTTTTTCTCCGTTCGAAGGCAGCCGTACAGCCATCACTAGCCATTATGGTGGTTTTATTGCATACTCATCTTCATGCATACGTTTGCTCGTTATTTATCTGTGATGGCACATCTGGAGACCCCCGTGGCAACGGTTCCAATTGTCTTAGTTCGTGTGCTCGCAGGATCATTCAAAAAAGCTCTGCTGGCGGCGGCACAGCGGTAAGGTTTATGGCCTACGGCCTAGGGTTTAGGGTTGGGGTTTCAGGTAGAGTCCTCCTTTATGGTTTGATTAGATGGTGCTCCAAGCGACTGAACCGTGTCGTAGGCCTGACATACGTATGCTTTTTCGATTTGTTCTTTTACGCGCGTATACAGCTCTGGGTGTGGCATGTACACAGCCGCTGCCGGTGCGCTTCTGTATATCTTTGCGCTTACAGAGCAGGCATTGATGAATTGCGCTGTGGAGAGCCCCGTCGGATTTTCCCGTACATACTCAGGTGAGGGTGAGAGTATGTGCATATTCAGAATGCTCCCAAGTGGAAAAGATGAAATTATTTCTCGCGAATAATCAATGATTTGCTGACTAAGATAGACTTAAAGTCAACTTCCCTCAAAATCTAGGTTGAGGGATCCACCGTGGTAAACCGTGGATTCCAGTGAACGCGCGCTTTATACTTATGGATGCGTAAGTTTTGTTTACATAGATGTATTACTTCTTATATGCCACGGTTGGCCTTGCTTGCGGTGTGTGTATAGGCATTCGTTCGCGACAATTGCAGCCACTTCAAACCCCCCGGTGCCACTACCAGTTGCACAGGTTCGATACATGTAGTTAAACAAAATAAGTGCACGATTCAGTCGCTCACTCGCAGGCAACAGGAGTAGCACGCCCCCGTATTAGCAAGTTTCTCAAAGAGGGACCTTCGCAGAAATTGAGCAACACTTCCAGACAAATGATTCCACTTCTTCACTTTTCGTGTACGATGTAATCAAACGACAGTTGTAGTCAACTCTGCTCGAAGGGGTGACATGAATAAACCTATTCTTTCATTCATGCAGCAGACTGCGCTTGCTGTGTTATTCAGGCTGTAATGCGGCATACG